CTACATCTTTGTCGCCACGATTCAGTGTCCGATGACAAAACCTCTCTGGCGGAGTGATTAGACCAGGGTGTTGGCGTGTGGTCCTATACTTAGGAGGGATTGCAACAAAACGCTCATCGCCTATGAATGTCTCAGGCAGAGGTTTGGGGGTACTTGATGCTCTGTGTGTTCGCCCCACAGTGCAAGGTTGAGTTTTTTGGTTGGATTCGGCTTGGGTGGGTGCGGTTGTTGTTGTTGTTGTTGCTGTTGTTTTTTGTTTTTTGTTTTGCTCTTCACTTCAAATCAGCGCTCACAGCACTAGTGCCGTTTAATCCAACCCGTGGTGGTTGGGTTGGATTGGATCGGTCGGTCCGTCGGTCGGTCGGTCGGTCGGTCGGTCGATCGGTCGATCGGTCGGGCGGCCTTGGACCGCCTTCTCCGTCGATCGCGCCGCCGTCTCTCCGTCGATCGTCGCCGCCGGTCGCCCTTCTTGTGTTGCACTCTGGCTCATTTTTTACTACAACAACAAAAATACAGCATTTATCTGTAACAGTGTTGTGAGCATCATGGTGGCTTTAGTTATTTGTTGTACTCTGTCTGCGAAAACACACACCACACCCACTTCTTCACAATAATACTGCTTGCTGGTGGTGTATATATACACATACATACATACGCCGTTCGTTGACTGTTGGTGGTGCTGGTGGTACTGATGGCCACATCATCATCATCTTACAATCAAAATCTATACCACCTTACGAAGCTTACAGGTATTGCTGCTGTTTCTGTACTCACTCACTCGCTCCGGGTCCGGCGCAAAACTAAGAACAACAACAACAACAGTAATCAACTTGTTGTCACCGAATAAAATAGTTCTTGTCTTGTAATTGAATAACAAATAAAATAAATGATGGCGCTCCGTACATCGCCACCGACCGACCGTCGTTCGACCCACACAGAGAACATGAACGAGCATTCATCAAGCGGGCTATGCATGCATGCAACATGTTAATTTGTTTGCATGCACACACACGCACAACAACAACAACGTAGTCTATGTATGCATCGTGGAAACGAAGGAAGGAAAATTCTTGTATTGAAGAAAAAAATAAAATAATGAACGGCGTTCCGTGCATGCATGTGCTCTCCACCGACCGTTTCTTACGGCGGGCTATGCATGCTTGCATGTAAATATTAGCATACAAGCACAACTTAAGCACAACTTATTATCATGACCAAGGAAATGCAACGAAGGAACGCAGCCTGTAATTTGACTACGATTCGTCCGCGATGAACATCAATCAATCTTCGTCGTCAGAGTTTCAACGCCTTTGTTTTTGTTGCTTTCCTTGTGGCACCCCGCAAGAGTCCTGGAAACTGCGGGCACTCTTTTCTAAGCTCCTTTGGTTGTTTCAGGGCGGAGACAGACGCGGGTTCCTTGTTGAAGTACACTCTCAGATCTCAGATACAGCGTATTTATTTGCTCTATAAATGTTATTTATACGCACATTGCGGCGTCAAGCAACCACTAACAACAACTGTCTTCGGGGCTTCTCGGAGTTCGAGCCCGAAGATACACCAAGTAAAGAAATACGAATCCATTTTTCGATCTACAGAAAAGAGTCTAAGATAGATTAGAAATGAATCCAGCGTCAGCGGAAGCAACCTTGCATGTATTCCACGAGTTCCCGAGCAGCATATGCAGCGATATCTCCCCCTGTGGGTAACAGGCCTGACGTTCAATCAACAAGGCAGCACAGCAGCAAGCAGCAGCTTGCGCGGCTTTCGCAAAAAAAACAGCTTGTAAAATATGAACGAACTGTTCTTGCTCTTCAAAGGTGTTGCGACTGGTTAACATCCGTAGGAAGGAAAAAGAAACTGTTCGCAGAAAAAATGTGGTTGATTGGAGACCATGAGAGAAGGAATGCTTTGTCTCCCATCACCCACCCGCACACCGCACTCGACATCATTGCAATAAGGGTGTGCGTTTTCGCTGCAACCTCTCCACAGCTCCCTCTCTTTCCTAGGGATACGATGCTGGGCTTCAGGCAAAGGGGGCTACAGTACGACAGCTCGGAAGAATGGGTCGATGACGATGACAGGTGGACGGAGCTGGATCCCGGCGACTGGAGGGACTGGGTGCACGTCGCCCTTACCGGGCTGTATCAGCTTGTCGTGTTCATGGCGGTCTTGCACCTGTGGGGGCAGCGCTCGTGGCCACCCTACTGCCCTCGGCAGATATCCCTCGTGTGAGTGGAATGGTATGCTTGGCGTCGAGACCCCTGAGAGGGAGAGCCGTAAATGATGTGCATTCCGCTCAAACGGCGTGTGTGGTGTTCCACAAAGGCGGGTCCTGGGGCGATGCCAACAGCAGTACATGTAGTTAGTTTTCCCGCTCCGCCTCTTGTCTTGAGCGAAGAACGGCCCGTATTACATACAACCGCTATCAAGCCTGTTCTGCTACAAGCGATCATACAACCGCAGCAGGAGCTCTTCCTGGGGCTTTATCAGATAGCACTGCTTGGTTCATTCACTCTGCCCAAGCTTGCTTGGTCCCTCTCCATGTCTTCCTCTCTCAACGGAGGGTCTCGCTGTCTGTTTGTGTGCACTTACGGGTTGAGAACAAAGTCTTGAGTGTTTTTTGGCGTGCAGCAGTAGCAGCAAGCCCCCCGCACGAACAAGCGCTTGCAGCAGCAGCAGCGTTGGCGACAGAGGTGCGCCCAATGGCCACTATCGATTCGAAACTTTGTTGGCTGGCCTGTGGGCAATAATATATTCCGCGTGCTATCAATCAACCATCAACCAATGGCGCCTCACAGGGGTACGCTACTACATGTACAGCAGTACAGCAGTGTTTGTGTGTGTCTCGAGAAAGCCGGCAGAAAGCCATCGAGAGGCGAAAATTGGATCTGGCGGAGTGGTGCCATTTTCTCACCGCGGCCTTCAACAAGCTGGGCCCACATGGAGTTTCAATGCCGTGTTTTTACCGGGGGCTTGGGTGTTGTGGTGCCCGGAGAATGCAGCAGTGTGTAGACTGTAAGCGTTCCTGCTACCCCTGCTACCGCGCCTTCGCGGGTTCGACATAAGCCCGTGTTATTTACAGCAAGAAGTAATAATTTCATATATTTCTTGTCAGCGGCCTCTGGTCTCTTTCCACAGATGCGAACTGCATCCAGCATGAGGTATGAGGTGGCACCGCAGCAGTAGTCTAGGCACCTATGATATATATGATGACAATCGTAGCATACTTATTTAGGGTACCTAAATAGTAGATACCTAGACAGAGACTCGGTTTCTGCTACAGGTCACATCTTGAGCAACATGTCCATACAACAGGTATAGACTATATCGCCCGACCGTACATGTATGAGGAACAGGTTGACCCGGCCAGTTGGGCAGCCATCTTGCTGTTATCTGCATATCCGAACTCCTCCTGTAATGCTGTATCTGCTGCACATCTGTACTGCTGTTTTTGTTTGTTGGCATATGCATTATAGAAGTTAAGGTGCTGCGTACATTGTATCTGGCTGCCGTTTTGTGCCAAGAAGGTACGTATACAGCAGTAGTCTAGGGCGGGATAAGTCTACGTGGAAGATGCTGGGGTGGGTGTTCCTATGGTGAACAACACCTACCTGTGTGTGTCCAGTTTGCTGTTTTTGTGAGGTTGCATGGCTCATATGCGTGTGTTAGCTGGTGCAGAAACAGCATAACAGCCTACCACAGCAGTTGTTGTTGTTGTCTTCACATTAAAAACCGTTCCGTTGTCTCTACCCAGCACCTTCTTCTGTCCGTACTAGTCTAACACTTGACGGGGTCGATTCCCGTGGTCACAGGGTAACTTACCCAAAAAAGGTAAGAGATAGGAAAGAGAAGGAAAATAAAAGACACAGGCGGAGAAAGACACAGGCGGAGAAAGACACACCCCTAGCGACAAACAACAAACGAACAACCAGAACTACCAACAGCTGCAAAATCTAGATCGAACCAACGTTTCAGGCGCTTTTTGCCCTACACTAAAACCTATATAATGTCGCCGTGGGGTACAGCTGTACCCCATGTATACTGTAGACAATATAACAGAGGAGGCTCGGCCAATATACTTGTGTGGTGGCGTGTTGAGAACGGTTGGCCATTTCTGGTACAAGCCAATTCTTCATGGTTGTATGCGTATGGTTGTGTGTGTGTGCTTTTGGGTGTGGGATATGCGGTGCAACGGCTTGCTCCCTGTTTTCATGTCCACCCTGGTTGAAGGCAAGGCGCGCGTCGCTACAAGGGACCAACGACCCCAAGCCAGTCCCCAAGAGCACACGAAACGGTCAAGTAGTCGACGTGCACTTGCTCTAGCTTCGCTGGAGGGGACTCCTGAAGACGAAATCGGTCCGATAGTTGCATCGCAATGAATCATGTCCTCATTCCGGTTTCTTCTTCCCACGTCCAACCCCAACGCTTCCATGGGAGGTTGTGTTGACGGCTTCACGTTGAAAACCGTTCCGGTTTCTTCTCAGCATACTTTTTCTGTTGTGTCCGTGTCGACCAACTGACGCCTTCCGTGGTCACAGGCCAACTACCCGAAAAAGGGTACATGTAGGTCTAGACGTGCGCTGTTCTCAAGTAAACAAGACTGTTTTTTCAGAACCGAACAACCGGTGTTCCGGTAAACCGGATCAGCCGCTAAGTTAGTCGGACCAACCAAGGGAAACAAACGCCTCTGCAGCCTTTTGAAACCTGGCCTGTTCGTTGGCTTTGTTCATTCATACGCGTACCTGGCATTCAATAAACACGCATGCACCGTGGTTCGTGCAGATTTCCACGCACACGACACTGCGACAGGCTGCGATACCGTACTTACTTGCATCAAACACAGCGGAGGAGCTAGATGATGGTGTTCCCGTCGCATTCCTTTCCGCATAACCCCAAGAAACGACGATGCAGGACTTTGGGGCCCGAATTGATTTGGATGAACTTGGGTCCGATCGCATGCATATGATACAATCTGTGTGTTTGTTCCTGTCCGCAGGTGCATGACCGGTTTGGCGGGGATCGTTGCCTACCTCGGTGCAATGGTCGCGGCCGGAGCGATCAAGCGGCACTCGGGGGACCTTTTCGGTACGCCCCCCCCCCCCCCCCGCCCCTGAAAGCCGTGCAGTAAGAGTGAAAAAAAAAAAATGGGGCTTGGGTGGGAATGTCTACCGGAAAAGGGGACAACAAAAAGTTGCCCTTTGTTGGGGAAAGAAAACAAGTGATGTTGATTTTTTCCTTGAAAAACTTGTCCTCCCAAAAAAAAAACATGTAAATGGGGGATATTTAAAGATCCCCCCAAAATTGGTTTGTGCCTGTCTGCTGTGTATGGGGGTGCCCGAAATATTGGG